CCATGGTCACATGATCAAAATTCGGACGTTTGGCAACTGACTCATATTTATGACTGTTGCAAGCATCCTGGGATCATGGGATCCCCTTTTGTGACCTTCTGACAAGCCAAGTGTCAGCGGTGAAGCCAGATTCACTTAACAATCCTGTTACTAACTTAACAACTGCAGTGATTCACTTAACAACTGTGGCAAGAAAGGTCATAAAATGGGGCAAAAGTCACTTAACAAATGTCTCACTTAGCAGCAGAAATGTTGGACTCAGTTGCGGTCGTAAGTCGAGGTCTGCCTGTAGACCTATGACTAGAACATTTTTAGTTCCTGCACACATGATTCCGTTGTGTCTGCTCGTGATTGGGTTAGACCAGGGGTAGGCAACCTTGCTCTTTTATGACTCGTGGACTTCAACTCCCAGAATTCCTGAGTCAGCGTTAGCTATGCTGACTCAGGAATTCTAGGAGTTGAAGTCCACGAGTCATAAAAGAGCCAAGGTTGCCTACCCCTGGGTTAGACCAAGTTATGTTTGATAAGAAAATTTGCCATCCCCTTTGTTGGAAGTGAGAGTTGGTGCGTCAGGAGCCATGAAAACATAAATTGAATGACCTGTGGGTGTAGATCTTACAGTAGGTATGGGGGGAAAATAGGATCAAGACTGAATGGATGATGAGTGAAAGGAATTGATTACAGATGTAAATGGATGGTATGAAAGAAGTCCTATGAGATGGATTTAATCGTCTAGAGCACGGGTGTCAAACTCGCCGCATCACGTGATGCATCGCGATGTATCGCCACTTTTGTCACATTGCTGGAGCTGGGGTGGGCGCGGCCTCCGCATGAGGCAACCAGCCCACAGGCCAGCAGTTTGACACCCCTGGTCTAGAGAGAATGGATGGGACATAAATTATGTCAAATATATGGAGGAAGTCAGATGGGAAGAGGAAATCCAAGCGGAATTGATAAGATCTTCACGGAGTCAAAAAGTTTATAAAATAAAAGACAATATGCCAGGTAGTCCTCGATTTACAACCCAATTGAGCCCAGAATTTTGGTTGTAAGTCATATGCTGAGTCACCACCTGACTGGACTCTTATTTTAAAAAGTCACTTTGTGTCCAACTTGTAAGCAAGTCGCCACAGTCATAAAGCAAATCACATGGTCGTTAAGCAAATCATGTAGTCATAAGTCTGAATCTAGCTTCTCCAAGGGATGTATTTTGCCAGAAAAAAGGCAAATAAAATCACAACATGTGATTACGTGACCGTGAGACTCTGCAACCTGTCATAAATGCAAGCTGGTTGCCAAATACCCAAAAGAGGATCACGTAACTATGAGGATGCTGTGACAGTTGTCAATGTGAGGACCAGGATGTAAGTTACTGTTTTCAGTGCTGTTATACCTCTGGTCACTAAATAAATGGTTATAAGTCAAAGACTACCTGTATTCTGATTTTACCAAGACCAGGGATGGCAACAATGGCTTTTGTTTTCAGATTCAGACTTTGCTCTGGGGGCCATTTTTGTGAAATCAGAAGAGGTTGTTGGGCTGATGGCTCACAATTCAGCACAGCACAATTCAGAACTGAAGATGCTTCTTGGGTGAGAAGCGAAACGTCTTCAGGAGAAAAAACACAAAAAGTCCAGTTGCCTTTTGAAAAAGCATCTCCCTCTAAAACAGTGGTTCTCAACCTTTTTAATGCCGCGACCCCAACCGGTTGTAAGTCGAGGACTAAACCGGTCGTAAGTCGAGGACTACCCAACCGGTCGTAAGTCGAGGACTTTCCCTGCCCGGGAGCGCCGCGCATGCGTGGTTCCGCCCCCTGCGCCGGCCGAGGCATAGCTGGCAAGCGGCAGAGACGGAGCAGGCCGACCACCAGCTGGCCCAGCCCAAGGGAGGTAAGGCACCCGCCGGAAAA